TCCATATTTTTAAGCTCATCTGCTAGACGTTCACGTAAACTTAACGGAATCTTTCGAAGAGTAGAAATCACCGGAGGTATGGATTCGTCTAAAACAATATGATACTTTCCTGGAAGGCACCCAATACCGCTAAATAAGTCATCGTAGTCTGATATATTAATTTCATGAATTCGCTTGACTAACCCTAATTTCTCACACGACTGTCGCCCCAGCACGCTTTGACAACGCAAATCGGCTATCGCAAACTTTAAATCATAACGAACATTTTTATAAAAACATTGTAGATAACAAACGCCTCTTACTGGTATTATATTACCGCTATACGACTCTAATTTAATACGATCACTTTTTATCATATTGGAATCAAAACCCAGTTGCAAAAATCTTTCAAAAGATATAACATTTATATCCGCCCCCGTGTCTAATTTAAAGTTTTCGATACCCTTCTCAAAAGTTAATGTTTCAAACCAACCATCTGAACAATCCTCTTGACCACTAATGGTTGATATAAAAAACGATTCACAATCAAAAGAACGCGTGACATCTTGATTTTGTTCAATGTCATATACATGTTTTACACCGGCCTTATTATTTAAATTTTGCTTACATACCCGCGCAAAATGACCTTGTTTACCACAAGTGAAACATGTGGCGTAAACGGCCGGACATCGAGGCGTTGCACAGCGCTCGACTCCACAGCGCGGGCAGCGCAGCGCTTGCAGCGCGGTGCCCCGCGAGGCGCGCCCGGCGCCTGTGTGCTGCGCGTCGCGTCGTCCTCTCCCTTGTTTGACACTATATACCTGCACTACACTAGCATACACACCAGCACCACTAGCACTTAGTTGACCGCTACTCTCTTGCGAAATTTCTTCGGCCAGGCACAACTTCACCGCTTTGTCCAGGTCTAGGTCCTCACATCTGAGCAAACGGTCCCTGACTATTGTGCTGTTCACACCACAAACAATTCGATCCTTGATCAGCTCTTCTTCTAAAGTTGCAAACTTACAATTTTTACTCAATAACCGCAATGACGTAACATACTGCTGTATGTTTTCACCTTCTTCTTGATTACGCGTGAAAAACTTGTATCTCAGCAATGTAATATTAATTTTAGTTCCAAAATATTCATCAAATTTACTGAAAATTATTTGCACATCATCACGATCATCTTCTTTAGTGAACGTAAAAGTTTGATAAATGTCGAATCCTTCTGAACCAATTAAATTGATAAATAAACTTGCCTTTACTGCCGATGTCTCCGAGTGCACACCCGAAGCTTTCATAAATAACACGAATTGTTGTCTCCACCTCTTCCAAGCATTAGCCCTGCTGACGGGTCCGCCTTCTAACTGTAATTCGCTAGGTGGCCGCGCGTGCTCCATTGTTAATTGGAGCACTCGTTATAATAATCTCTGAATAGAATTATCCGCGGTTCACAACTTCCCAAAATATTATACTATACATATGTATGTTGCAAAATATTCTATTGATGTACTCGATTTTAAATATTTACTATGCTTATAATCCCACTTCTGACACCATGTTGTGAATGCAATAATACACGATCGTTAGCGAGACAACAACTGATTTATTATATGGCATAACCTACCTACGTTTACAATAACACAAATACCCACAACAGTTCATATTTTATTCTTTTTCTTTATGCATTTCTAATGGCTCAAAAGTATCCGAAATTGGGATTTTTCAAGCCTTTAACAATTCATAGAAGATATTAACTTTATTGTAAAAAGTCACGGGACTCTTTTTATTCGTATTTTACAAAGAATATAAAAAGAATAGTCCCGTTTGAAAATGATAATTCAAGTTTAAACAATACCTACGGCACCGAGTTGCCTCATGGCAACATGCATTTATATCATCAGGACGACAATTTGAAGGGAATCGCATAAAAAAATTGATGTGGAATAGATTTCGGTACTCATGCACCTATTCCTTCTGGACAATGTCTAAATATTTGGCATTGCAATAGGTACGCCTTGCCCACTGCCGTTGGTTAAATTCGCGAACGTGTTAAACTTATCCAAAATAACAATTTATGCTGACGAAAGATTGACAGCCACTGGAAACTACAATCGAAAAGTAGTTCGATAGTCCATTAATTCGTAATTAACCCTTGGGGCATTTCCGAAAAAAACATAAAAACAATAGCTGGCTAATCCTAACCTATAAAATAAAGCTTTAAAAACGATTACCTATCATAGAATCAAACAATCATTAAGATTACTTAGCAAATTCCTAAGATAATGAACGCGGGTAATTCCGAAAAACCGAAAAGAGTTAAAGAAGCCTTTTCAACCGAAAAGTTAACTTTGCTCGCGCACTAAAGCGTACCAGATTAAAAATGGATGCAGTAAAGTGTAATGAGTGCAACATTATTGAAATGCGGTTGCATCATCGGTCTGTATAAAAGGCACTTGTTTTGGCTCGCCGCTCACTTAGCGGTTAGCCACCGTAGAGTCTATATCACCTGAGGATGCCTCGTGTAGAGGCGAAACACGTGTCGTATTATCGTCAGTGGTGTGTTTTGCCTAGTGTAGTGGTGTTGGGAGTTTGTTTTGTTTAGTTATAATAATTTTTTTTGGCTGCAAAATATCGAAATGTTCGGTGTTTTAGCAGCCTTGTATGAATTTATTTGACTAAATAGAGACTGCCTCACTCAGTTAGTTCGGCGTCAACCGCCGTCGTGAGTGGATACTGTATCGGTTGTTTGCAGCGGCTCAAAAAGATCTCTGTACAAATACTGAATATTCGAAAAACCAAAAGAGAATGCCATATCGTGCCCCACCTTGTACAAATAAGGTAAAAATATGAAAAATAATCTTATGAAATTTGAAGTTTTTTTGTGATAAATCGTTATTTTGTACAACTTGCGGTAAGATATTATTTAAAAAAAAGGAATTCAACGATTAATATTTACATTTCCAGTCTTTTCTAATAACATCGGCGTTTCTTTGTACGAATAAGTACATACGTACGCATAAAGTATCAAACAATACATATTTCTATTAAAATATATTATAAGTCTTTGTCATATGTTACTATGTTACTTATCAATTTTTATTTTCAATTATTATTATAAGTCGATAATAATTATGAATTGCATTAGATAATTACTGAATAACAATCATTGATTTTCGTGCATTTTGTGAAATGATACACACGTCATTGTGTCAATATCGTAAGTACGTATGTCAAGTTAATGTCGAATATTTTCACATATTGACTCATTTGTGCTTGTGAAATATATTGATTATGATTATATCACATTTTTGCTTGTGCTGATTCCTGCTTTCTTTACTGTAACATTTTTTCCTGCTTTTACTGACGACTTATGCTTTTATTAATATACGGATTCGGTCACGCCTACTATTGACTTACTGCTAATTACTACGGACATTCTTATAATTGCATCCACGATGTTGAGGTGCACTAATTGTCATCTTTGCCTCGATAGGATGCAGGGGCATTTTGTGTTCTCATTTCGATTTACAATCTTAACTTTCTTTCAACATGGAGATCTTTGCAACAGATATATTTAGTTTTATAGCTTTTTTATATAGTTGATAATTTATGGTCCTGCCGTTGTCGTAGAATTAGTTACTAATCTGTAAATATTTACACCTTCTTCAGACACATGTCATAATAATATGTATCTTGAAAAATAATTTTGTAAATAATATAACTCGTTTACATGACTAGGACTTAAATTTTGTGAAAAACAGGCGTCGCTAGTCTTATATTGTATAACCCTTAGATTGGCAAAACACAAAAAGACGAATTTGACTGAAAAAACTATTTATTTGTAATATATTAGTAACAAAAGCATCTTAAAAAATAATAGAAAAAATAATTCTTGTTTATTTATTGGAAAATCATATGTGCTCTAGAGGGCACTTCGCTATGTCTCCAGAAAATGAAATCGGCATTTTCCTGTCCCCTGTAGAGCACATTGCCGACTAATTAGCAATAAATTTTTTGATTTATATTTTTAAAATTTCGTAAAAATATACTACTAAACCTGTGGAATTAACAGTGCTGAGATTTTTTATTGATGTAAGATAAAACATCATAAATCTTATAAAAATATACTTCACAAAATTATTAAATCCTCCTTACTTATATCATTATTTTAATCTGAGATCAAACGCCATAAAGGATATAAAAATACAACAAAAAATAAATATTCTGCTTACAAAAATGCTTACATATGAAAGTACACACTTTTGAGATCAATAATCAAGTAAAGGTTCTAAATTTTTTATAAGCTAAGTAAATTATCAGCTAAGTATATTTTCTAATTTAACTGAAGGGCTAAAGAGTAATAAAAATATTTTATTGCTATGTTTCTTGTTCTTTTTGATGAAAAGTATAAAAACAATTGCGATTTTGTTAAATAGATAGACGCATGTTACATTTTATGCACAAGAAAGTAGTTTTTCCTTTCACACAAAGTCTACAACGGCCTTTTGTTGTGATTTTAGGAAAGTGCTCTTTACCGTCATATCGACTTTCTGCTTCTGGTCGAGTTGCGATAGGCCTGCTAATTATGCGGCGTTGGTTTACTCGATTCGGAGGCTCGACATTTTCAGCCAGTGCTTTTGGAATATATGAACTCATTTCTTGTGCCACTTTAAAACGGAATGCTTTCAAAGCAATATGATCGTCGACGCCAGTCTTGAGGCCACATTCCCTTCTGTACAAAAGCCATGCATTATTTATAGCCACGTCCAACAGCTGAGAAAAAATAGGCATATACCATTTATTTGTTTTGTAGATGGTCCGGTAAATAGCCACTAACATATCGGCTAAGTCTACACCGCCCATATGCTTGTTGTATTCTTTTACGATGTTTGGGCAAGGAATCTCTCGATATTCTTTTTTATCCTTGAAATATCGTTTGCATACACCCATTGGTTCAACGCCGGTGTAGTTACTACCTAGCAAAACTCCTTTATTATCAAACCATTTCACTAAAACTATTTTTTTTCCTCACAAACTTTCATATCCACCGATCCTCGAGGCATCTTCTTCATTTCTTTGTCATCCTTCAGAATACATCCTCTCGTTCTATTTTGTCGAAATGTGCCAATCGAGAAGATACCCAGTTCGTTTCGTAGATGGTGCATTAACTCGACGCTTGAAAAATAGTTATCAAAGTATACCACAGTTAGTACGGGATCTCTTATCGTGCGACATAAAGAAAGGACAACTTTGGCACCCAATCCCAAGGTATTTTCATAATCACTAAAATCCCTTCCCGAAAAAGTATACTGTCCACCATATAGAATTGCGTCATACACTATACCAGAGACTCCTGCTCTAACAAACATTTTGTACCCCCACTTTTTAGGCTTAGTTTTTATGTATTGTTTTAATTCACCTGACTTCTTCCCTTTATACGGTACCATCATCCCATCAATGGACATTCTACTTTCTTCTTCAATCTTTCTGCAGTTGGATATAACTTTATCAAACAGAGGGCGAATTTTGTAATAACGGTCATTGCTCTCATTTTCAACTTCACTGTCATTGAAATGGAGATAACGTCTTATTAACTGATATTTTTTGAGGGACATCACATTTATAACACAATCTACTTTAAAATCCTTAGACCAATAATCAACATACGCGGGTAACTGGATAATACCCATAAATATCTCAACACTAAAAAAATCCTTGATATCTTGTGTACTCAACGTTAATTCTTTGGAATCTTTTTGGTACGCATACAAAATTGTTTGATCTCTTATGTACTGTATTAAATCTTCGTCAATAAATTTATAAAAATATTCTAAAGGGCTGCCAACTTCATTAGGAATTGTAAACTGGTTTTCCTTTAAGTTTTGTACTCCATAAGCAAATTCTTTTCCTACCCATTCACAAAGACCAATAGCTTTACTTGTTTTATTAGTTGTAAGTTTATCTGTTAATGAGGTTGATTTAGTCCTATTAGTGTATTCTTTTTTGTTATGGATCCGTAAAATCGTTTTAGTTTTTGATTTATATAAATTTTGGTCTGTTTTTGCTTTATTGCTACTTTTACTATTTGTATTAGTTGTTGTGGGTTTGGTTTGTGAATGATGGTAGCAGGAATCTTTAGATGAAGCTTGTATATATAATTTCGAACTATTTTGAGTTTGCGTTTGAGAAATCAAAGATTTCTGACGAAGAGACCTTCGTTTAGGCGTAATTTCCGCAAGTTCAGCAGATTTTTTAATTCTTTTATTTGAAGTAGACGTCTTAGCTACTAGTTTTTGCTTACGAGTCGATTTCGCTACATCTTCTATCTCACAGTCACTGTTCAAATAGAAATCATCCAGAAAGTTAGGACAAGGGCTTGATAATATCTCATCAGTTTTTTCTTTGTTTTGCGTGTAAGGTGACTCAATAATACCGATTTCAGATAGCATATTTTGATCCATTATAGATGGGGTCTCATAACAGGATGACACTGATGGTAAATTCTGATTGGAATCGGTAACATTGACAAGGGATTGTTCCGAAACACTGGGTATTTGCGGCAAATAAGGATCATAACTATATGGATATTCAACAGAATTCAAACATTGGACAGCAGAGGTTTGATGAACCGTAGCTTGACTGGATCTAACATAGTTTAGACTCAAAGAAGGAACTATCATAGCTTTTGGGGATACTGAAATCTCATCTTCACTTTCAGTTTCACTAACAGTTTTACTGTTATATATGTTTGTAGTGACGAATTTCTGAGCATCATCTGAATCAGAAGTTTCTTCGCTAGCTTTATCAGGTAGAACGAAAGACATTATGCGCTGAAAATATAAAAAAAGTACTTAGTTTGGAAATAGTATTACGCTGACGTCGGTCTCGTACTGTCAGCAATCGACAGCGTTCGATTGGAAATAATGTTGTTCTGACTTCGGTCGCTGATCAGTTTTACAAAGAATTGAGCACAAAAAACTATAGCATATATGTACGTCTAAACTATTGCTAATATATATATGTGACTGACGTCAGTGTAACACTATTTCCAGCTTTATGACCATCTCAAAACAAAAAAAAAAGCTGGAGGAATGTAAAAGCATGGGCAATATCGGTGAAAAAGTATTATTAAAGTAACCTACAAAAGACACAAGAGAAGTACTATTAACTGGCTAAGTGCCCTGTAAGGCACATAAACACTTTTCTGTTAAGTGAACGTGTGCACTGTAAGGCACAACATACAATTTCAGGTAACCTAATAAGGTGCCCTACAAGGCACAACTGAATTTCGACGCAATAAAAATTACCTTATAAATAATTATAATTTATGCAAATACTACATATGAGAAGTTTTATGTTCCTACTATAAATTTCAAATTGAAAAACAATGAAGTTAATAGATCTACTAGGATATTTTTATTATTATTTACCTCAATGCGCCGGCGACTACTCGACCCTCCTGACATTTTGTTTCGCAATGACAGCAAACGTTACTTTTGACACATTGAAATTTTTTTTTCTGTATATTTTTTAAGTAAGCTAAATCATAAGTAATGAAAGTTTTTTAAAACTGAAAATAATTATAACAAAACATTTTATTAAAATTCCCGTGATCTCCAGGGCACATGCCAATGTAAGGGATAAGGACCTTTTAGATCCCATACAAAAGAACCCTTTTTCCAATGTTACTGATCATTATATTATTATGCTCCTTAAATTCTTAAATTCTTATTTAATACATATCATATATCATTAACGCCTGACAATTTATATTCTGAAATTACAATGAACTGCAATGAATGCTGTTCTAAAAAATAAGGTAAGGTGCTTTGGGGTTATTACGAAAATGGGGGAATTCCGATATTTACAAATTACGGCTTAACTAGGCAATATTTTTTGTTCTGGTCACTTTATTCTAGACGACATTTTATTTGTCTCCCTCGCTTCAGTCGTTTCAGGTAGCTAGTCTCAATAGTGCGCGAGCAAAGTTAACTTTTCGGTTGAAACAGCTTTTTTAACTCTTTTCGGTTTTTCGGAATTACCCGCGTTCATTATCTTAAGAATTTGCTAAGTAATCTTAATGATTGTTTGATTCTATGATAGGTAATCGTTTTTAAAGCTTTATTTTATAGGTTAGGATTAGCCAGCTATTGTTTTTATGTTTTTTTCGGAAATGCCCCACAGGGTTAATTACGAATTAATGGACTATCGAACTACTTTTCGATTGTAGTTTCCAGTGGCTGTCAATCTTTCGTCAGCATAAATTGTTATTTTGGATAAGTTTAACACGTTCGCGAATTTAACCAACGGCAGTGGGCAAGGCGTACGTATTGCAATGCCAAATATTTAGACATTGTCCAGAAGGAATAGGTGCATGAGTACCGAAATCTATTCCACATCAATTTTTTTATGCGATTCCCTTCAAATTGTCGTCCTGATGATATAAATGCATGTTGCCATGAGGCAACTCGGTGCCGTAGGTATTGTTTAAACTTGAATTATCATTTTCAAACGGGACTATTCTTTTTATATTCTTTGTAAAATACGAATAAAAAGAGTCCCGTGACTTTTTACAATAAAGTTAATATCTTCTATGAATTGTTAAAGGCTTGAAAAATCCCAATTTCGGATACTTTTGAGCCATTAGAAATGCATAAAGAAAAAGAATAAAATATGAACTGTTGTGGGTATTTGTGTTATTGTAAACGTAGGTAGGTTATGCCATATAATAAATCAGTTGTTGTCTCGCTAACGATCGTGTATTATTGCATTCACAACATGGTGTTAGAAGTGGGATTATAAGCATAGTAAATATTTAAAATCGAGTACATCAATAGAATATTTTGCAACATACATATGTATAGTATAATATTTTGGGAAGTTGTGAACCGCGGATAATTCTATTCAGAGATTATTATAACGAGTGCTCCAATTAACAATGGAGCACGCGCGGCCACCTAGCGAATTACAGTTAGAAGGCGGACCCGTCAGCAGGGCTAATGCTTGGAAGAGGTGGAGACAACAATTCGTGTTATTTATGAAAGCTTCGGGTGTGCACTCGGAGACATCGGCAGTAAAGGCAAGTTTATTTATCAATTTAATTGGTTCAGAAGGATTCGACATTTATCAAACTTTTACGTTCACTAAAGAAGATGATCGTGATGATGTGCAAATAATTTTCAGTAAATTTGATGAATATTTTGGAACTAAAATTAATATTACATTGCTGAGATACAAGTTTTTCACGCGTAATCAAGAAGAAGGTGAAAACATACAGCAGTATGTTACGTCATTGCGGTTATTGAGTAAAAATTGTAAGTTTGCAACTTTAGAAGAAGAGCTGATCAAGGATCGAATTGTTTGTGGTGTGAACAGCACAATAGTCAGGGACCGTTTGCTCAGATGTGAGGACCTAGACCTGGACAAAGCGGTGAAGTTGTGCCTGGCCGAAGAAATTTCGCAAGAGAGTAGCGGTCAACTAAGTGCTAGTGGTGCTGGTGTGTATGCTAGTGTAGTGCAGGTATATAGTGTCAAACAAGGGAGAGGACGACGCGACGCGCAGCACACAGGCGCCGGGCGCGCCTCGCGGGGCACCGCGCTGCAAGCGCTGCGCTGCCCGCGCTGTGGAGTCGAGCGCTGTGCAACGCCTCGATGTCCGGCCGTTTACGCCACATGTTTCACTTGTGGTAAACAAGGTCATTTTGCGCGGGTATGTAAGCAAAATTTAAATAATAAGGCCGGTGTAAAACATGTATATGACATTGAACAAAATCAAGATGTCACGCGTTCTTTTGATTGTGAATCGTTTTTTATATCAACCATTAGTGGTCAAGAGGATTGTTCAGATGGTTGGTTTGAAACATTAACTTTTGAGAAGGGTATCGAAAACTTTAAATTAGACACGGGGGCGGATATAAATGTTATATCTTTTGAAAGATTTTTGCAACTGGGTTTTGATTCCAATATGATAAAAAGTGATCGTATTAAATTAGAGTCGTATAGCGGTAATATAATACCAGTAAGAGGCGTTTGTTATCTACAATGTTTTTATAAAAATGTTCGTTATGATTTAAAGTTTGCGATAGCCGATTTGCGTTGTCAAAGCGTGCTGGGGCGACAGTCGTGTGAGAAATTAGGGTTAGTCAAGCGAATTCATGAAATTAATATATCAGACTACGATGACTTATTTAGCGGTATTGGGTGCCTTCCAGGAAAGTATCATATTGTTTTAGACGAATCCATACCTCCGGTGATTTCTACTCTTCGAAAGATTCCGTTAAGTTTACGTGAACGTCTAGCAGATGAGCTTAAAAATATGGAAAACCAAGGTATAGTAAGGAAAGTTTCTCATCCAACTCAATGGGTGCATCCACTAGTTCTAGTTGCAAAAAAGGACAATGGAATTCGCGTGTGCTTAGACCCATGAGAACTTAACCGTGCAGTGCAGCGCGCGCATTTCCAATTGCCCACTGTGTCAGAGCTCGCAGCGCGGCTACACGGAGCGCGCTTCTTTTCGGTCTTAGACGCCAACTCAGGTTTTTGGGCTATACAACTGGATGAGCAGAGTGCAGACTTGTGTACATTTGCCACACCGTTCGGTCGATATCAATTTCTTCGCTTACCGTTCGGTATTAACTGCTCTTCCGAAGTATTTCACGCGAAAATGAGGCAGCTTTTAGAGGATTTAGAGGGTACAGACAGTTTTATAGATGACATAATTGTTTGGGGACGAAACAAGCATGAACACGATAGGAGACTAATTGCATTGTTAAAAAGAGCTAGGGAAATTAATTTAAAATTTAATAAAAAGAAATGCAAAATAGCAGTTGAAGAAGTTACCTATTTGGGTCATATTTTTGATAAAAACGGTATGAGGCCTGACTCTAATAAAGTAAAAGCCATCTCTGAGATGCCTCAACCCTCGGACAGAAAAAGTTTGGAAAGATTTTTGGGAGCCGTTAATTATTTATCGAAATTTATTCCGTGTTATTCTGATCGCGCTCTTCCCTTAACGAATTTGTTAAAAAAAGATAGTATTTGGCGTTGGGAGCTTAGTGAGCAGACGGCATTCGACAAATTAAAAGAATAGGTTTGCACAGCGCCAGTGTTAGCGTTGTACGACGTTTCACAGCCAGTCTTGTTATCGGTAGACGCATCTCGCGATGCACTCGGTGCTGAGCTATTGCAGGGCGGTCGGCCGGTTGAATACGCCTCGCGAACTCTTTCAGATACGCAACGCCGGTATGCTCAAGTGGAAAAGGAGTTGTTGGCAATTGTGTTCGCCTGTGAACGATTTCAGCAATACATTTTTGCAAAAAATGATGTTGTCATAGAAACAGATCATAAACCTTTGGAAAGTATTTTTAAAATGCCATTAATGTCCATCCCAGCCCGCTTACAACGTATGATGCTTAGAATACAAGGCTATGACTTAATAGTTAAGTATAAACCAGGAAAATATATGTATATTTCAGACGCATTATCTCGCGCGCCGCTTCCCGACTTAGCATTAGATGATAAATTAGATAAAAAAATTCTATTTCAAGTAAAATTAATTGCAAACAGTATTCCAATTTCAAATAACAAGTTAACGCTGATAAAAAATGAAACGAAAAAAGATTTTGATTTGTGTACTTTACTAAATTACATTAAATTAGGATGGCCTCATGATAAGTGTAACGTAATAGAAAATCTCAAAAAATATTGTTGGCAACCAACATCGGCCACCCCTCTTCGTGCACAACGGAAGAGAAGTGGAAAGGGAATTGTGAAGTGGAAAGGGAAATGTATAAATTAGGGTGCATCATGATTCTTGAGCATTCTG